AAAATCTTTCTATTCATGAGAGTTTGTGAACTTTGGTGGGTTTTTTTTTGAAGACTTAAATGTTAGGTTTAATCAACCTGTAGAAGGAGCCCTCTTGGGTTTCTCTCCCAGATGATCATGGGAGACCTTGGCCACAGCTAGTGGTTTATACACAGGCTCTAGTTTCCTACTCCTTGCAAAGAGAAGACTCCACCCTTTGCAGGCCTTCTTAAGTCTCTTCTGATGGAGGATAGGCAAATTAAATGTCTCAGCATCCCAAAAATAACTTCTCCTCTGATTCAACTGAAAGGGAAAAAGGTAAACAGCACTTTCTTGCTGCAATGCTGTCCATGCAGCAGTTTTCAAGGAGTCCTGCTGCCTGGGCCACTGAATTGGGCTCACTCTGTCAGGCCTACACTGGGAGTTTGCTGCACTTCCCACAGGGTCCAGGGTGGAGATATTCTGGTTGGGAGCTCCTCATGTGGTATCAGGAATGGCTCCGGCAGTGTTCTGCTCAGGGTGACCCCTCCTGCCTACTGCTTCCTCCTTTTTAAAGGCTTTCTCCCTACTACCCATGAGTGACAGAGACAGATGGGTGGGACTAGCTCTGAATACAGGGTCTTCTCTGGCACCTTCCTCATCAGTGTGACGTCTATCCACCCCATCACACAGCTATTGAACAATTCTCCTTTATAGTTATTGTAATTTTTTGTAATTTCCCTCTGAAGGCACCAGGTGTTATACAGCTCTCAGACCTTTGGTGACAAGAAAGTATGATCTACATTGCATGCACTTCCTTGTCATTCAATTACCTGCAAATAGTTGCTCACTAAACTACTAATGCTTGAACTTCGACTTGGAGGCTTCCACAAATACGCCGAAGAGCCAAATGAGGACAACGTCCTTCTGTAAACCATAAGAAAAAACAAAAACAAACAAAAAAAGACATCTTAATAATGGCTAACTGCACACACGCGCATTATAGTCTGCTCTGACTTGAAGGAGTCTATTAGTTATATGGCAATGCTAGCATTCATGGGGCCTGATCTAACATTCATTGAAACCAAAGGGAAGACTCTCATAGACCTCAATGGAGTTGGATCACGCCCTACATGCAGGGTTACCCTCTGTCGAAAGAAGCAGGCCTGCTGAAACAGGTGTGTGTCATGAATTATCTGACTGTTCAAAGGAGAGAGATTCACAGTGAGTTCCGCTGCGAGGGACCACAGCCTTTGGAGCCAACCCTGCGGGGTCTCAGCTGATGGCCACTGAAGTTAGTGGAAAGATTTTTCAGACTTGAATGAGCATCAGGTCGGATTCCTGGTGGTCAACACAGTCATGACCATGAAGATCCAGATGGGCTACAAGATGAAGGCCCACGCCTCCTTTTTACACTTAAACAGAAAAGGTGCAGAAGTTTTTGAAAGTCTCAGAATGTGTGTTATGGCTCTAGCTGTATACAAACAGTAAAGTTGTATTACATTACCTGGCAAATGTTGGCCAAGCAGCATCTAAGTCATGCCCTCTTGAGGCCAGGTCAAACTGAACCTCAGTTAGCTCATACAGCTGACCCACAATGTCAGAACTCATTTTAGACTTCAGAAATGGACTTCTTGCATAGTACCAGTCACTAAAAGAAGAATCAGATTGCATGAAACAATAAATACAAGGTGAGCGCGTGCAACATTCTCAAGAAAACAAAGCATTATTTGTTACTTCCCAGAAAAGCTACAAGGATTCACTGCAAATGCAATTAACATCAGTCAGATCCACTGCCCCTCCACCCCTACAGCCTCCTTGATGGGAGCAAGGATGGTTCCTGGTGGCAGTAGGAGCTAATGAAGCTTATGGATTCCATACAAAACATTTTCACTCTGGGCTCGCATAGGTGACTGGAGAAGGTGAAGGATTTGCTGCATAATAGATAATCACATGGTATTCAGTAAGCTCACATTTATGTTCTAAAAAATTCTTTATTTGGAATATGAGTAAACTGAATGCTCATGACAATGAATGGTGGGCAGCAGCTGCTAGACTTAGGGTGCGTCTATACTGCACTGTTATCCCGGAATAACAGCCATTATTCTGGAAAAAGAATGCTAGCGTCTACACAGCAGTTGCGTTATTTTGAAAGAAAATCGAAATAACAGACAGCTTTTTCTGTCATTGGTAAACCTCATTCCACGAGGAATAGCTCCTCTTCTGAAATAGCTAATTCGAAATAGCTGCAGTGTGGACGCTCCACTGCTACTATTTCAAAATAGCTCCTGGCCATTCTAAGTTATTCCTCCCCAATGCCTCCTGGGGCTCTAAATCGAGATTGTACATCTATATTAGGGTAACCTGCCACAGACTAACTTTGAGGCTTCCCTGTAGTGTGGATGCTCTATTTTGAAATAGCCGTGCAGGGAAGATGTAGGCTTAGATACACTGAAAAGGAAGATAGAAACTGAACACTTTTCTGTGAAAGCTCTATGAAAGCTCTCTCATGCTATTCCAGTCTTTTGTTTTTCTTGATCAGAAAGACAACATGTTACATTATACCACACTGTGTGATAGTGTTATGCAGAACTATCATTTGGGGCTCTGTGCACCACCCCCATCTTCAGTTCCACATATAATTGTAGCCACATATGAATCCAGGTGCCCTGCACTGGTAAAGATTGGAAAATTTAAGGGGTGCAAGTTCCATACACAAAACACCATATAGTTTTTAAATGTTTCTGGCATATAACACTCTGCTTTATAGTGAACTAGGGGTTCAAAACCCTCTTTGTAGGGTTCCTCGAGTTATAGATGCTAAAGTCTAATGTTTAAGGACTACGTTGCTCTGACCAACAAATATGGAGAGGCAGAAAACTTAGAAGAACAAGTCCCAGAACAAGTGTTTGGGTATTAAATGCCAATGATTTTCTTTCTTTTATAAAGATGCTATTTTGATAGACTTGAAGACAACCATACTTCAGAAATTATAAAAAGGGACAGCAGCAAAGCTAACTTCCCCTGCTATTTTGCCTCAACCCTCACTCCTCTAGAAGACGAAAGGGTTAGTTTAGTTTCAATGTTCCTTGACCCCTCTACTGAGAATACTAATAAAGATGTAGAAGTTGTAACAATAGTTTGCAGTATTGACCATGGCCGGCTCTAGGCACCAGCAAACAAGCAGGTGCTTGAGGCAGCACGTTGCCAGAGGTAGAATTCCGGCTGGAGGAGGAGCAGGGCGGCGGAGCAGAGGCTACCCCGAGCTGGGAGCCCCGCGCCCGGCTGCTCAGAGCCTGCGCTTGGACCTGGGATGCTGGGAGGGCAGGGTGGGATAGGGCGCTGGGAGGGCGGGGCACCTGGCCCCGGCACAGGTCGTCTGCGGCTGGTGACACTGAGCCAGGCGGGGTAGGCCACGGTCATGGTGGCTGCTCCCAGAGTTCAGGGGCTCAGCGGGCGCTGGGGCTCTGCCGTGGCGGGGCCCCATCCCCTTACTGGGGAGCCCCACAGATGCCGCCCCGAACAAGGAGCCCCGTGCCCAGCTACTCAGAGCCTGTGCCTGGCCCCGGGGCGCAGGGAGCTCTGCATGGGCAGTCCCGAGGCAGGATGCTTCCTGGAAGGCAGCATGGGGTGGCCACGGCTGGTAAGGCTGAGCCTCTGGCCGGCCACCCCCCTCCTGTGTGCCCTCCCCACAACTTCCCCTCCCCATCCTCCCCTGCCTGTGTTCTCTCCCCCACAACTCCCCTGCCTGTGAACCTCCCTTGCCCGGCAGTTCCTCTCCCCGCCTGTATGCCCCTGCCCACTGTCCCGCAACCCCCCCCCCACCTTCCCCCCTCTCTTCTCCTCCCCCAGCTCAGTCTCTGCCCAGCAACCCCACCTCCTGGCCCACTGCAACCCTGCTGGGACCCTGTCTCCTCTTCTCTCCCCCCGCCCCACCTCCCATCTGGATCCCCATCTCCTGTCTGGCTCTCTAAACAATCCCTCCTCCCACTACACTCTGGGCCCTGATCCCTCCCCCTCTACACACACACCTGCCCAGTAACCCAGTCCCCTTGTGCTGGGTCCTGACAACCTCACCCCTGCCTGGGACCCAGGTGATTCTCCCTCTCCCTTTGTCTGAGGAAGGGGAACTCTGGTGTTCCCAGTGCCTGTGTCCCAAAGTCCCTTCCTGTCTGGGGCAGGAGAGCTTTATTAAAATTGGAATTGTGATCCCATTTAAAGAGGCTTTGTTTTAAATAATATACCTTTAAAATTAAATTAAAAATTGTTATGGCCTAAATTTATCATAACCTAGTTAAATAACTTATGAATTAAATTTAAAAATTACATAGAACATATCTCCTGTAATCTTTTAAAGAAATTCTACCAGTTCACTAATGTAAGTACCCAGAACCAGTGTTTACATCAGCAGTAGCTTCTTCTGCAGGTAAAGAGAGAATGGTTTTATCACTTTGGTTTATTCAGCTAGTTCTATTAAATGATTAGTTCGTTCACTGCTGCAAAACTGAGAGTTGACGAAGCAGAAAAACTTGTTTTCCTCTTCTCTCAGTAAAAAACTGGCTATGAAAGCGTTCTAACATCTTGAAGAACATGATGACTAGATTCGATCTGTTAAATTCACTATGGATATTTCCTTTGTTTAATAAATGAATTTTAGATGCAAAATGTGTTTGGATACTTTTTTGTTATGTGTCCTTCACAGTTAAGGTAGTTTTATTTCATAAAAAAATTAAATGCTGGATTTGTTTATTTTAAATAGAATTTCTGTCCAGACAGAAGTAGATGCAAATCATATGTTTTTAAAAAGGTAGCCACAACTTAGCAAATAAAAACCTGTCTCTTAAGTGTTCCTATTACACACCATTTTGTAATAGAATAAAAATGTAAAAATTAAGAATCTTATTACATGTAAGTTACACAATTATTTAGGCATTTATTTAGTTGGTAGCTGTACTGAGTGTATTCTCCTGGTTAGTAAATAGAAGCACCAAATTTGGCATAAAGGTTATATTTAGTTGTAAATCAACATGTTTTAAAGGTTGCTAATCAATAAGACTCAACCATCCTTTAGGAAAATATTTTAAAAGTATAATTTAAATGATTATTTGCTCATTTAAACCAAGGTTTTCTGCTTGCCGGTTTAAATCATGATTAAAATTAGAGATTTAAATCAAAGCTATTTAAATCAATCCACCCTGCTTCAGAGGCTGTTTGGTCTGTCCCTGAAGGAGAAAGCACAGGGCTGCGCTCATGGAATAGGTCCTAGGCTAGTGGGGTTTTGTTGTCTGGTGCCTGTCTTCTTTTGGACAGTTGAGCTAGGGAATTGAAACAAAAGTTTTCTTAATCTCTTTGAACTGTCTCATTGTATAGTGAGGCTGATTCTTGTCCATGGACACCAAGAGTTGGACAGCTTATGTGTTGGGGTTGGAGTCTGAGTGATTATAAGGCTTCTA